TCCTGTATACAAATGATAAATGGGCCAAGAAAGAAATCAGAGAAACATCATCCTTTACAATAGCCCCAAATAATATAAGATACCTTTCAGGTAACTCTAACCAAGCAAGTAAAAGACCTGTATGACAAGAACTTTAAGTCTCTGAAGAAAAAAATTGAAGAAGATAACAGAAAATGGAAAGATCTCCCATGCTCATGGATAGGTAGGATTAACATAGTAAAAATGGAAATCTTAACAAAAGCAACCTACATATTCAATGCAATCTCCATCAAAATCCCAGCACAATTCTTCACAGAACTGGAAAGAACAATACTCAACTTTGTTTGGAAAAACAGAAAACACAGCATAGCTAAAAGAATCCTGTACTACAAAGCCACCTCTGGAGGCATCACCATCCCTGACCTCAAGCTCTACTATAGAGCTATTGACCCGTCCCGCGGGCCAGGTTATTTGATGAGACCCGAGGAGGCACCTCCTGAAAGATCAATGGGGGCGAGAGAGAAAGGAGACCAGGCACATAAAGGAAGACAGAGTCAGTCTGAGTCGCGTCAAGGTCTCGTTTATTGACTGGGTATTGAGGCTTATAAGCAGGGCTTCAGGCAGGGAGGGGGAGCAGGGGAAGCAAAAGGAGAGAAGAATGGAAAATTCCTAAGGAAATGTGAGGTCGCTTTGGTCCCAGGCCCCTGCAGCTGGCTGATTAGCACGTATTCCAGGAAGTTGTACAGCTCGAGGTTAGGCCAGGAACCTGTTTTTGCAAGGTTTGATAAAGTAAGGAAGGTCACACAAAATTCAAGACACAGCTGTCCGGAGTTGGTCCCCAACAAGCTATAGTAATAAAAACAGCTTGGTATTGGCATAAAAACTGACATGTGGACCAATGGAATTGAATTGAAGACCCTGACATTAACCCACACACCTATGAACTCCTGACTTTTGACAAAGAAGCCAAAACTGTACAGTGGAAAAAAGAAAGCATCTTCAACAAATGGTGCTGGTATAACTGGATGTCAACATGTAGAAGATTTCAAATAGATCCATATCTATCACCATGTCCAAAACTCAAGCCCAAGTGGATCAAAGACCTCAATATAAAACTAGTTACTCTGAACCTGATAGAAGAGAAAGTAGGAAGTAGTCTTGAACACATTGGCACAGGAGACTACTTTCTAAATATAACACCAACAGCACAGACACTGAGAGCAACAATTAATAAATGGGACCTCTTGAAACTGAGAAGCTTTTGTAGGGCAAAGGACATGGTCAATAAAACAAAACAATAGCCTACAGAATGGGAGAAGATCTTCACCAACCCCACATCTGACAGAGGGCTGATCTCTAAAATATATAAAGAACTCAAGAAACTAGACATCAAAATAATGAACAATACAATTAAAAAGTGGGCTATAGAACTAAACAGAGAATTCTTAAAGGAAGAATTTCAAATGACTGAAAGACATTTAAGGAATTGCTCAACATCCTTAGTCATCAGGGACATGCAAATCAAAATGACTCTGAGATACCACCTTACATCTGTCAGAATGGCTAAGATCAAAAACACTGATGACAGCTTATGTTGGAGAGGATGTGGAGCAAGGGGAACACTCCTCCACTGTTGGTGGGAGTGCAAACTTGTACAGCCACTTTGGAAATCAGTGTGGCAGTTTCTCAGAAAATTGTGAATCTATCTTCCTCAAGACCCAGCTATACCACTCTTGGGCATATACCCAAGGAATACTCAATCACACCACAAGGACACATGCTCAACTATGTTCATAGCAGCATTATTTGTAATAGCAAGAGACTGGAAACAACCTAGATGCCCCTCAACTGAACAATGGATTAAGAAAATGTAGTACAGGCTGGGCGGTGGTGGCGGCGCACGCCTTTAATCCCAGCACTTGGGAGGCAGAGGCAGGCGGATCTTTGTGAGTTCGAGGCCAGCCTGGTCTAGAGAGCGAGATCCAGGAAAGGCGCAAAGCTGCACAGAGAAACCCTGTCTCGAAAAACCTAAAAAAAAAAAAAAGAAAGAAAATGTAGTACATATACATAATGGAGTACTACTCAGAAGAGAAAAACAGTGACATCATGAAATTTGCAGGCAAATGGATGGAACTAGAAAATATCATCCTGAGTAGGTAACCTAGACTCAGAAGGACAAACATGGTATGTACCCACTCATAAGTGGACACTAGATGTAAAGCAAAGGATAACCAGACAACAACCCACAACTCCAGAGAAGCTACCTAACAAGGAAGATCCAAAGAGGGATGCATGGATCACCCTGGGAAGGGGAAATAGATGAGATCTCCATGAATAAACTGGGGATGAGGGGTGGGCAATGGAGGGTAGGGGATAGGGGATGAGAACATAAGGGAATGGGATGGTCAAGCTGGAACAGGGATGGAGTGAGAAAGCAATGAAAGAGATACCATAATGGAGGGAGACTTCATGGGGATAGGGAGAAACCAGGTGCTAGGGAAGTTGCCAGGAATCCCCAAGGATGACCCCAGCTTGGGCTACTAGAAATAGTGGAGAGGGTGCCTAAACTGAACTGGCTTGCCCCAGTGATCAGACTAGTGAATACCCTAACTGTCATCACAGAGCTTTTCTCCAGTGACTGGTGGAAGCAGATCCAGAGCCAAACACCAGGCAGAGCTCCAGGAGTCCAGTCAAAGGGAGAGAAGAGGGATTCTATGAGCAAGTAAGTACATCAGGATCATGATGGGGAAACCTGCAAAGATGACCAAACCAAACTAGTGGGAACTCATGAAAGTTGGACCAATGGCTATGGAACCTGGATGGGACTGGACTAGGCCATCTGCATGGGGAGACAATTGTGTAGCTTGATCTGCTTGGGTGGCCGCCGGGCGGTAGGATCAGAATCCATCCCTCGTGCATGAGGGGACTTTTTGGAGCCCACTACCTATGATCAGACACCTTGTGCAGCTTTGAGGCAGGGGAATGGGCTTGGACTTACCTCTACTGGATGTGCCTCCCCATGAGAGGCCTTGCCTTCTTATGGGGGTGACTGGAGGGTGGGTTGGAAGCGGAAGGCTGGGGGGGGGGGGCGGGAGGAAGGAAGAAGGGGATCTTTGATTGGTGTGTAAAATGAATGAAAATATTTTCTTAATAAATAAAGTGTAGCATGAAAATGTAATAGAAAAAAAACTGGCCTCTGGGCAAGTCTGCAGACCATTTTCTTAATTAGTGATAGATATGGGAAGTTCCAGTCCATTGTGGGTGATGCCATCCCTGGGTTGGTGGTCCTGGTTTCTATAAGAAAGCAGGCTGAGCAGGCCATGCTGAACAAGCCAGTAAGCAGCACCCCTCCATGGTCAGTATATCAGCTCCTGCTTCCAGGTTCCTGCCCTGTCTTCTCTTAGTGATGGACTGTGATGTGGAACTGTAAGCTGAAATAAGCTGAAATAAACCTTTTCCTCACCAAGTTGCATTTTTCATTTTTCATGGTGTTTGATCACAACAGTAGAAACCCTAAGATAATACACATATATGTGTCACAACAATAATTAAAGAGGATTCCTAATTTGGGAAGGGAACATGGGAGGAGTTGGAGGGTGAGTGATGGGTGGGAATGACATAGACTTAGTGTTCATGTATCAGTGAATGAGGATACCCAGTGTTGACCTCTGACTTCATGTGAGGGCATGTGCAAGTGTGAGCACACAAACACACACACACACACACACACACACACACACACACACACACACACAGGTCATTTGGTGATCTGTCTGACTGACTTTGATAATTATACAGTTACTGCGTTACTTACACACACTCTCTCACACACACACACACAGGCACACATGTGTGTGCGTGGTTATCTAGTGATCTGTCTGACTTTGATAATTTGATAGTTATACAGTGACTATGTTACTGACATGCTGGATACTTGGAGAAGCAGGCTGAGGTGCGGAAACCATTTATTTCTCTCTCTCTCTCTCTCTCTCTCTCTCTCTCTCTCTCTCTCTCTCTCTCTCTCTCCAATTGTTCTCACTTAGTCTTGTGAGATAGTGAGAGACCTCTGGGCTCCCTTGATACAATATAGCAGTGCCTGGCAGACTGTTTTCTGACCCTAAGTCCCAAGAGAATGAAATGAGCAAGCCAAGTCCACATATATGTTCTTACAGGTGCACACACATCTCCCAAAGCCCACATACCTGTTCAAACAAGTGCACATACATCTCCTCAGAAGAGTATTGGACCACAGCTAAACTTCCCCTATTTTACTACTGTCTTTATCTCAGCGTTTTCTCTTTTTTATGCAATGATCCACTTCTTGGATATTGTTAGATATTTGACAGACAGCATTTAACGTGGCTGGATGAAGTTGTTACTTTAACCTTTAAAGGGAATTCTCAGTATGGTTATAACAGCATGGAGTAACAGAATGACTGATAAGTGGACTTAAGAAATTATCAAATGTCAATTTGTTCTTTCTTCAGCTCTGGAATAACGTTCTCAGAACTGTGGCCTGGCTCTCTAGTCCTACAGCAGTCTCCTTGTTAAATACCAGAAGAATAACTTGGAGCCCATCCTCCAATCCCCCCCCCCCCCCTTTACTATTTCTGGAGGTGCTGAGTCATTATTTCAGACTTGCTTTTATTTAGCAGTTACATTTTCACTGGCATGCTGTGGTTTTTACCCCATTCTCATCCATTTCATAAAGAAGAAAGTACAAACGGAAAGTGGCTGGAGGGCTGAGAACATAGGTCATTCTGCGTGCACTGGTGTAGAAAATCTCTTTGTTCCACTGAGTTTCAGTGACTGCAGATTCCAGAGAGAAAAGAATGCAAGATGTCATAAGACACACTGTCCCAGTAGGAAAGATGCCCTAGGTCAATCAAACAAGAAGGAAGGCTTGGTACCCTCCAGTTCCCCAGCTGATGTGTGATAGCTCTTGCCTGTGATCGAAAACAATTTCATAAAAAATTCAATTTCTCGTGGAACACTTATGAGTACTTTATTGGCAGTGTCTCTAAGGAACAAAATTAACGCTGTGATTTGGCTGGTGCTGCGATTCAGTGCGGTGGTGGGGTCAGGAGTAGGAAGGCATCGATATGGTCTCAGAAGGTCAGGACAGTACGGATACTGAAATACAAAATATAAGATGTTGTTTCCACATTTCCACAATTCACAGTCCCCGTGTGAGTGAATAAAGAATATGTTATGAGTCTCAGTGAAAATCCATCCAGGTTCCCAACCATTCCACACCCATCCCTGTGACCATGGTCAAGTCTGTAAATGGGCCAGCCACCTTTTTCTGGTCTCTCTTGCCTTCTCTCCAACTCTAAACTCACAGAACATCTTAATATGCCTGCCATTTATATTTTGGTTCTAAGTTAGCACCTTAAATAATACTGAAAGCCTGCACGCCTGGTGTAAGATGTAACAGCGGACAATGACAGGCGTTTCATTCTTGCCGTTTGCCATGTACGTTGTAGAAGCTTTTTAGGCATTATCTCACTTAAACTTCATTCTGAACAGCAGCACCAAGAGGTAGGTTATCATATTCTGTCCTTTTTAGAAACTGTGAAAATCAGGGTTTAAGTTTGTAAATTGCCCTAGGTCATACATCTGTGTGTAGAGCCTGAACTGGTTACAGAAGCCAGGTACCCACTTTTGTTCTTACTGCATTTCTCCTTCATTTTCTGTCAACTATTGCCCCCATCATAAAAATAATCCTTTTTTTTCCCCCTCACCTGCCCCATAAAAATAATCTTAAAGCTTACCTCTTCCCAGCACGAAGCAGGTCAAATGCTTCATTTATTTTTTCAAAAGGTAGAACATGGGTAATTAATGGCTCCAGTGGAAACTTTTTAGCCATAAAGTCAGTCACAAGTTTAGGGACAGAATCTTTGCTCTTAAAGCCTGAAAGGAGAACAGCATCACCGTGAGATCCAGCCAGGGGCAGGCAGGAGCATTAGGTAGAAACCTTTCCAAAGAAATCAAAGCTCACAAAAGTGCAGTAGTCCACAGGCTGCCACCTGAGGGACAGACATGGGGGCTCAAACGCATTCTGCATTGCATTAACATTCTTATAATATGTACCTGATAAGCAGGGTCCCTGACTAATGAAGGCAGCTTATTAGTTCTTTTCTAGAGAAGTTATATTGCAGATGTTTATACCCAAAGTAAGGGAGCTGTCCAAATTTAGGAAATGATTGGAGACATAAATTACTGCCGTGGGTTTTCTGCATCCTATGAGGCATTCTGAGGCCTCACAAAGACACGAGTAGAAGGAACCAGCAGAGCCCCAGCTAGTTTATGGGGACACAGAGAAGCCTGTCTTGGGATTTCTTGCACTAATTCTTGGTACAGAGAGAACAGTGATTTTCATGTCGATTTCTAAAATCTGACCTTTGCTGTTGCAAAAGGAAAGAAATTCTGGAACAAATTAAGAATTTGATCTGTAGATATAATTCTGAACGGTTTTATTAAATAAGAAACATAGAGCCAAATGCAGAGTTAAAAGCCCCAGAGGTCAGAGAGCAGTAGCTAAGAGCTGAGACCAAGACTGCTTTCTTATCACCCGCTGCCGCTGCCATCCTTTCCCTGAGAAAGAGACCTACTTCCTGTGTGTCTGTCTTTTTATTGACTTTCTGTTCTGCCTTCTCATTGGTTGTAAACCCAACCACATGACCTCCTCGTCACTGTCTGTCTATACAGACCTCCAGGTCTCTATGGTTGGTATTGAGATTAAAGGCATGTGTCTCCATGCTGGCTGTGTTCTTGAACACACAGAGATCTGCCTGCCATGTGATTGGGATTAAGGGCATGTGCTACCACAGTCAGACTTCTGCTAAATGGCTTGCTATTAGCTCTGACCCCCAGACAACTTTATTTATTAACATACAAATAAAATCACATTTCAGCACAAATAAAATATCACCATATTGATCTTCAAAGCTGGGGAGATGGCTCAGTTAATAATGTTCTTTTTTGTTGGTTTGTTTGTTTCTGACATAAAATTTTTATTGATTATCTGAGAATTTCACATAAGGTACCCTGATCACACTCACTTCCCAGTCCTCCCAGGTTCACCTCCAACCCTTGCAACCTCCCCCAAGGGGGAAAAATATGCCAAGTCCAATTTGTGTTGCCTATGTCCTCACTGGAGCACGGTCAAACTCCCAGTGGCCAGCCCCTTAAAGAAAACTGAATCTCTCCCCCACCTCCACCCCTGCCAGAAGCCACCAACTGTGAAGAGCTACACTTTAGCATCCCCACCACAATTTTTAAGAGTTCTCTTCAATGGCTTCTTGTCTGGACTGTTTCTTTTGGGGGTAGGGCCAGAGGTCGGGGAGATGTAACAGAAGCTGAATTTCATCTCCAGAATAAAAAACAACAAAAAAAGTAACAATAAACAGCTGATTGAGTGCTGGAAGAGCTTGTAATTCCAGGTCTGGAGAGAGAAAACGGATAGATTCCTGGGACTGGCTGGCCAGGAAGGCTAGCCTGACAGTGAGTCACTGTGACCCCCTGTCTCAAAGAACAAGGCAGATGGTTCCCGAGTAATGACATCAAATGTTCTCTGGCCTCCACACACATCCACACGACCACCTTGACACACAGAACACGTATAGAACTTGATCCTAGCTGTAAATACATACCACCAAATATTGCTCCTTTCCAGGTTCGTCCCATCAGTAGCAACATGGGGTTCACTGAGAGGCTTTGGGCATCAGGAGGTACCCCCACAATGACACTTACACCACATGCTGCATGGCAGCTTAACAAGGAAGAAGTCTGGAATAAAAATAATATTTAAAGTGGATTCTCTTGTGGTGTCCACTCATGATACGCAGTTTCATGTCATATGAAGAAATGTGCAGAAAGATTTTTTGAATGAAAGAGTGGATGAGTGAATTTATGTTTAATTCTTCCTTATAAAGTAATACGGAAGCAATTCTCATTGTGGGCATGTAAAGTCTGGGTCCTCCAAGGAGAATATTGTTCCCTTATCACATAACTCCCAGGCAATCTAGGAGTCGGTTAATTCACTTTTCTTTTGTCCATTAATTACAATTCTGTACTTTTATTTTGTCCTTTGTCCATTAAATGCAATTTGGTACATTAATTGCAAGTTTGTATTCTGAGTCAGAAATTTTGATGTAATGATGACAAGATCAAAAGTTGTCTCTTATCCATGTCAAACTCCCTTTTTAACAAGCCCCAGTCTGGTGCTTATATCAAGAACAGGCATGTTTTAAGTGGTTATGCCTCCAAAGTATGCATTGGTTTTACATTATTCTATTATCTGCAGACATCCAGGAAGTTTTCACCTTTCAATTGTTTTTTTTAAAGCATTCTACAGTAAAGAATGATTTACAATCCTCAAAGATACATGATTTTGAAAAATGACGTTTAGAAAACCAGGTGTCCTCAGAACCGTGCCTGTCAGACTTTTGAGTCTTCAAATCGACTGACAGCCCAGTTTAGGATGAGCAAATAGGGAAAGAGTGGGTGACTCACAGCGGGAGAATTATTACTTGAGGCAACTTTGTAGAGCTGACAAAATGAAAGGCTTATCTTAACACTGAATTAAGTAACCCGAGGAGGACGCAGGAGACAGAAGACTGCCACTCAAAAACAGCTTTCCGTCTAGAGCACATTATAGACGGCAGAAGGACAGATCTCAAGGCGTGCCACGGTACATACCATGGTGTCAAGCCGACCGATTACTTCAAAGGAAAAGTCTACCCCTCCATCGGTCATTTCCTGGAGTACTTCCTGGATGGGCTTGCTATAGTCTAGAGGGTTGATGCACTCAGTGGCACCCAATTCTTTGGCCTTTGCAAACTTGTCTTTGTTGATGTCCACAGCGATGATCCTGGCCGCTCCTGCCGTTTTACAGCCAATGATGACAGACAGACCGACACCTCCGAGGCCGAACACAGCACAGGTGGAGCCTGGGGTCACCTATGTTTCCAGAAAATGAAAAAGATGGACCGAACAGGGATTGCTAGGAAGTGCTCCATGCTGCACAAGGCACCTTGCTTTGTCCTCTCTCATGGCTCCTTACACTTCCTTCCCTCTGCTGGCCAAACCTCTTCTCGCTACAGTTGCCTGAAGGGGTACATCAATGGCTCTCAAAATTTGCTCAATATTAGACATATCTGCAGAGTTCCCCCCCCCCCTCAGGGTCCAGTAACAGCTTCTGCCAATTAACTGGAATTTCTGCAGATGGAACCCCATCCCTATTCTAATGGAAAACCCAGTTGAGACCAGCTGTACTGGGTGATCTTCGAACTTGACATAGAAATGACTTTCAAGGGCCACACAGTAACATCTTACACATACACAAAAGCATTTTGTATAAATGAAACAAACGATCACAGTTACTCCAGGAGACTACAGTGTAAGCCAACTGCCCTTCGATCCTTAATTCCTTGTTCACTGACTTTCAGGCATCACAAACAGGGTAATTAGAGCAGAAGTCAGCTGGGAGGCATTCAGAAGTCATCTCTGGCTTAAAGCAACAGGAAAACAGATATGAAACTTTAAAAAAATAAAACATGAGACCAATGTAATCTTTGTGGGACTTTGAGTCTGAAGTTTTAAAGAAGCAAATGGAAAGTACTGAAACACAAGCTGGTCTGTATTTTAATAATAGTGATTGAAATCCATGACCACAAGCACCCCTGGCTTGCAAACAAGCTTACTCAGGCCTCCTGTTTAAACAGATAAGCAACTGCACAAGGACTAACTACCTCTAGGGCTAAAGCCACAAAATAACATAGAATGTAAGTATTGAACATAAAATATTTACTTTCTCTTAATTCAGTATAAGCATCACTTTCATCTGTAAACTGGTGAATTTTCTTCACGTGTTCAAATTCCTTCTGAACTTATTTTTCTATTAATAATTTAATCAATACCATAAGCCTATGAAAATGATGTAGGAGAATCCTAGAATAATGGCCTGATGTTTTAAAGGATCTACTAACAAACTTGCTTAGGAAATATCATGTCACACAAAGTAGAATTTAGCTAAAGGAGTGCTGTCTCTGATACGACCCGCAGCACACTATGCAGATCTGTCAAAAAATGTAGGGAAAGCTGTACCTCTAACAAAATTAAAGTTTAGGTTTGCTGGGAAAATGTTTCTGTTAAGTTTGTTCACAATCCCCAGAACAAAAGGAGACAACCCTGGCCCACAGCTGGCCATTAGCAAAGACCATGCCTCATCATGATGCTCTTTCAAAGAATATTAGGCAGTTCAGAGGGTCCACAGTGCCATTAAGTACTGGTTTATCATTAAGCCTCAGTTTTCTTTTCAGGAAAGTTCCACCACATAGGCAGGTTGGCTCTAGGTAATGATGCTGGTCCATTTTAAAAAATGCTTGTGACAGTATCTTTGCAGTGCAGACCTCCCCACTTTGGCTTGCTTTAGAAATAACAGTGATGCATCTCTGCTTTATAAATCTCCCACTTGTCTAAAATAGTCAAGCTTGCCAGTTTCTACTCTTTAAAACATGTTCAGTTGCTCAGAGGCCTGGGACCTAACAGAGCTTTGCAGACAACATCACATGTAAAATGCTACAGTTCAAGAGCTATATAAGTTTCAATAATTTCTATGAAAGGCCAGTTTCTCTTTGGGAACTAGCCAGAACTGAGTGCATATTACTATAGAGCTTTTCCTTGCTTTTTTTGAGTGTGTGGAGTGAATTTTCGCTGGAGTTGGAGAGGCTTATTTGTCTTCTACAAAAACACCCTCTGACACCTGTGAGCAATTGCTTCCCTTTTGGTCCCAACATATAGCTAGGCCCATGGGCCACTGTCCATCCTACCTTGGCGACTTTGACAGCAGAGCCGTAACCAGTTGAGAACCCACAGCCGATGAGACAGACTTTCTCCAGTGGTGAAGCCCCATCGATTTTAGCCACTGCCATCTCATCTACCACAGTGTACTGGGAGAAAGTGCTGGTGCTGATGAAGTTGTGAATTGCCTTCCCTCTGCAGGTGAACCTGTTGGTACCATCAAGCATTGTCCCCCGAGGCTTCATCAAACTGCCCAGCAAAACACAGGCATACAAAGGACATGAGACAGAGTAAAACCAGTGTGCAACCTAACTGTGCAAGAAGACAGTAAGAAACCTACTCATTTTTCATACAAAGGTTGTGTTCCGGGTGCTTGCAAATCCTGCATTTTCCACACTGGGGAGAAAAGAGCGGGATGACTTTATCACCTGGAGGGGAACAGCAAAATGACTTGAATTAATAAGGCAAGAACATGAAGCTTACATGTAGAGATGTGTGTCTTTGAAAGGTCTCCAAGAGATAGGGCCCCACCCCACTATGTCATGCATGGGTCACTGCCTCCCAGCCTTGCTATTCGTCCAGGTTTGTATGTACCTGAAGATTCCCAAAGAGAAAAAGGAAATGTAAAAACAGCCATTTCCACTGATCAGCAGCTAACTTTTGTTGTGTGTCTGCCTCAGTTTCTCTTGGGGGCTTTGCACGTTAGCAATCAAACCTTGGATATTCTCACTGCTAAGTATAAATAGATACCTTAGTTGCAATGAGTTGCTAACTTCCTATTAGATGTTGGAGAGATCTAATATTTTGTAGAATAGTTACAATAAAACTAAAATAAAACCAAACACAACATGGGAAGTATTTTATAATAAAAATAAAACAAATTAAACTTGGTATTAGAACAAAATTAAAATGAGAATTTTGATAGCTAATTTTTTACTTTTAAAAAAGATTTGTTTTGTTTTTATGTGCAAGTGGGAGTATCCATGCGTGTATGCCGTGTGTGTGTGTGTGCGTGTGTGTGTGTGTGTGTGTGTGTGCGTGCCCTTGAAGGCCAGCAGAGGGCATTGGGTGCCCTGTAGCTGGAGTTACAGGTGATTGTGAATTGTCTAACTGGGTGCTTTAGAAGAGCAGGATGTGACTTTAATCATTGAATCATTTCTCCATCGCCTAGGTTTTGGCTTTTCAAAGTGATTGTCTTTCTCTTATTATGAAATGAATACTTTAAAAAATAATCTTAGTTATTTTTTTGAGGACGCATAATAAAATGTGACAAAGACATGACAATTTGCTTTAGAAATCTCAGTTCTTAAAAATGAATTAGATATTTTCCCTAAGAAATAAAAGGTGACTTTTTAAAAGATAATTATTTATTAATTATCGATTTTCAGCTATAGACAAAGCATTCTGAGAAGTAAAGGTATCATTTTACAGTTAGTTTTTTTTTTTTTTTTTTTTTTGGTTTTTCGAGACAGGGTTTCTCTGTGTAGCTTTGCGCCTTTCCTGGAACTCGCTTTGGAGACCAGGCTGGCCTCGAACTCACAGAGATCCGCCTGGCTCTGCCTCCGAGTGCTGGGATTAAAGGCGTGCGCCACCACCGCCCGGCAGTTTTTTTCAACTAAAGGAAATACTAAAAGCTTAACTCAAGCAAGACTAGGTCTTTTCTTATTTTCTGATTATTTGGAATGGAAGAGAAGTCTCATTGTACTGGCTAAAGTGGTCTTTTTGGAGATGGACATAATTTTTGTTTTTAAATCTCGTATGCTACCTATGCTATTGAACCAAATAAATGGCTTGATCATTATGTTTTATAGATAAAATGAATGTGGGATGACACCATGGAGGATTTATTTTTATTCACCCTTTACCTCCGGAAACATACAAAGTTAAAATAAAAATATGAATAAAATAATAAGTAATGTGCAACCAACTACCTTCAGCTGCAATTAGTGATAATAAAAAGGTATTTATGTTTGGAGACCTTTAGCTATGCTTTTCCCTCTGGAGTTTCTTCTGATATATATATATTTTTTTCTGTATTCAAAAAGGAAGCACATACAGGAGAAGAGGAAGCCATCATGTTGACGCAATGTGGTTAAACGTACAGCATCCTGCCAGCGAGGCAAGCAGTCGGGTCTCTGAACTCAGCACAGAACAGCTTCCGTACATCTAGACATTCAGAACCTGAACCTGTATGTTTTGCTCTGGCCCCATTTGTAAGTGTGTTTGGGTCTTGAAAGTCTGCGGTGCTACACTAAAGCGGAAGTTAGCAGATTGTGAACTCCACTCTTACGGGCACCGTGCTTCCTGGTCGTCACATTGGAGACTCTAACTTGTCGCCTGACATCTAGTAGATAATAAATAGATGTTGAAAGAGGAAAGGCACGATTGGATGTAACAGGACTGAGGCACGTCGGGGAGGAAACCCCTCTTTTGGGAGCGATGCTCTTGGGATCAGAACCAAAACACAAGCCACAAGGGTGAATTCTGTACCTGGTTTCACAGAAGTCACCCCTTCTCCAACGCTCTCCACAATACCAGCTCCCTCGTGGCCCAAAACTGCGGGAAGAGGTACAACCAGGCTTCCACTAACCACGTGATCGTCTGAGCGGCAGACCCCGGTGGCCACCATCTACAGATTAGAGACAAAGTTTACTCAGCCAAGTTCGCAACTGTGGAGGTTTAACACACCTATTCTGAAATTGTGCTTCCGAGGAGCTTGCTAACAATCCCTAGTGCTTCCAAATTCCCAAGATTCCATTTAGGTCCAAGATTTTCCTGTGGCTTCATCTCTTTTCCCAGTTAAACAGCTTAAACATCAATGATCATCCTGTGAAGTGAGCGACCCTAAAAACGTATTTTATACAATATACAAAAATACATGCTGTGTGATGGAAATAGAAATAAAAAAATGAGCACCAAGAAATTACCTAATATGTATTGCTTTTGGAATCAAGATGTTTAGCGCTTTACAAACACATGAACATTTTTAAAAAGTTTTCAGGGATTATGTTAAACATACTGTTTAGTCACTTCAAACTCTTAGCAGCTGATATCAATAGCTTGCCTTAGCAACAGATTAATTCATCATCAGGATAAGTGTATTAAAGGGGCTTTTTTTTTTTATTAATGGATTTTTTGGATGTGTCTATGGAGCATTTTCTGAGTTTTTCAAACCTAACTTTGTAGACGGTGAAAAGGGGCTTTACCTTAATGCGGACTTCATGGGCCTTGGGGGGCGCGACTTCTATGTCCTCGATGGAGAAGGGCTTATGAGGCTCCCATAGCACAGCTGCTTTGCACTTGATTACCTGGAAGATAAAGGGTTACTTCAGCTCCAATTAGATCACCGCAATTGTGTCCTTTCTATTTCATATGTAAGGCATCTGTCCGGCTCTGCCACCCATTGTTACAAAGAAACAGACACTTCTCATTTACAAAGATTTAAGACTACCCTGTCTCGAAAAACCAAAAAAAAAAAAAAAAAAATGTGTGACACCGTAGCCCAAGGTCAGGAAAATGCAACTAAATACAACACACCACGATGACTAGTGTATGCTCTTTCAGGCCATGCTTGCATTAGTCACTGGTACTGTTCTGGAAAAGATTGTTTCACCACAATCATTGGGCATATATTTAATTCTAAATTATAATTATTAACATATTTTTGAAGTGCTAGGGACAGAACCCAAAACTTTGTGCATTCTAGGCAAGTACTCTATCACAGAGTTAACCTCCAGGCTGAATATTTCTGAGACAATATTCTAATAAGCAGCCCAGGCTGGCTTTGAACTAGGAACCTTTCTGTCTGGGCCTTCCTAGTGCTAGAATTTCAGGCTTGTTCTTCCGTACTTGGCTACGTTATTGTTTTGCTGTTCTAGGCAGTATAAACACAAACCAATGATCAGCACACCGCTGTTACTGATGCTGCCCCTAAAAGCCTGGATTCCCTAGCCCCTCAATTCCTGTTTGGTTGCTATGACTGGCTTTCCACTTAGGCTGTATGAATTCACTATTTTCTTTAACTCTTTTGATCATTCTTTTTTCCTTACTACTTTTCTTTGAAATGTAATATGCCATCCTAAACATAACCAATAGTGAAAGAAAATAAAAGTGAATTGGAATAAAAATACTGGCCACTGGGCCCTTTGTGATTCTCAACCCATCTTTTCAATACTGAATCATGTCACACAGTGTATGCAGAAGCCTCTAGAATTTCTAACACCCAGTTCTCACTGTGAGTTATTGGACTTTTGACCCACTCCTAAAATAGTACCTGTGCCAATAAAAACATAGGCTTTTATAGTTAAGCAATTAGATAGCACGGATCAGCTAATTATACTGAATGGCTGCTTGCGTGTCTCGGTACCATACACAGATTGAATAGGAAAGGTGACTTTATGGAAAACTTAGGAACGTATGTGTGTATTCTTAGTGTTAACAAGTGATTCAATTTCTCTTTTCTTTAAGTAAAAACTGCATTTTTTTTAAAAGAAAGAATAGACTTTCTTTAAAGACTTTCTTTTTTTTAAAGAAAGAATAGAATTTCTAGAAGTTTTGTGAGTTTTGCTGTTATGGACTCCTCCAAATCACAATTTGCATGGTAATGTAATCTTACTGTGGATGATCCTAATGTTGTGAAATCAATCCACCTCTTGTCAGAAATTTTATCTAAAGGTTATGGAGACAGTTCTACTAAGTTCCCCGAGCCAAATTCCTCTTATGAAACTCTTGTCAGACTTAATTTTCTATTTTCATAAGAAATATATGATTACAAAGAATAGCACGCTCTGATATCTTAATATAAATACAGACTCTCCATGAAAGATCTTTTTAAAACTTTCCATTTACAAAGTAGTCACGATTGACTTAGAATAAATTCCTGGTACTACAAAGTTAATGAGGAGGTGAGGACGCTCCCAGATCTAGAGTCTATACACTCTTGTTAAAAAGATATTTAGTGGCAGTGCAGCCCAGTGCATATCCTGTACTATAGCATATGTTACATATTGCATTTCAGTGCACGTTATTGCTAAGTTAGGAATCTGCATCTTTTTGCACATTAATGTTTCCAACAGGAAGATCTTTTTCTTACTTTTCCGGCTGTGCTCATGCTGTCTGTCTGTCCTCGCTGCTGGCAGGAGACTGATGAGTCCTGTGGGCTTCTTCCCTCCTCCAGTGCACCCAGCCAAGGTTGCACACGTTTTGTTAGCTGTGGTGTCAGCTGATTCCACACGTGATCTGGCCCTTCATGGCACACCCCTCAGTTCACTCTCACTGCAAGTTAAGTGAAAACCCAGGGCACTGGCCTGTCAAGGAAACCCTGCTCTGGGGATGTGCTGTTGGGCACATTTTGTTTTCATGGGGTCCAACACTTTTTTTCTCGTCGGTCTCCCTTTCTCTCAGTCCACTCTTCCCCTTTCTCAGTCAGGTCAGAGGTCTGTTTTCCTTTGCCTACAAAAAGCTGTAACTTGAAGTCCACATGGTGCACAGTAAGGAGGAGAGGCAGTGAAGCGGGACAGATGGAGTGGACAGACGGAGCTTCAGGGAGGAAGGTTTGGCCCCCATTCCTCTTCAAAGCAGAGAAGCACCCTCAGGCACAGCAAAGGCGCTGAGGCCCCGGTGGTATTCCTGCAGCACATACTCCTGTTAGCATTGACAAGGAGCCTGTGGCAGGCATGGAGCTGGCCCAGGGGGTGGCAGTCATGAGCAAGAGAAGGATTCCACTCCTGCCAAGAGACAGTGGCTACAACATGCTCTGTTCCTTCCGGCTGAGAGAACTTGGACATATCGAACTGCTCTTTGCCATAGTTTCCTTCTTGGCACAGCCATCTCTAATGGGAACGGCAGAAGTCATAAAGCCAGCACAGCTGCTTGACAAAGATCCAGCAAAGCTGAGCTGCATGATGACTACCATGTCACTTTTGGCTTTGATCTTCGCCTGTTGCATACTTGGGGGACTTTTTAATGTTTGTACAATTTGGGGATTGAATTGATGGAAAATTTCTTATGAATCATTTATGCCTTCTCCCAGGAGTACTTCTTCTAAGCTTCCCCAGGAAAGTCCTGAACATACTATTCCCCCAACTTTGAGGGAGATATCCTTATCTACTTGAAGGTCTTCCTTACACCTTGGAGGTTGTGATATACATAAAGAAGCCAGAGGTCTCTTTATGAGGCTATGAGATATTCTTGAAACATCTGTCCCTGTACTTACTCAGTAACAAGATAATTAAAACAAAGTAAACTTAAAAAGGTCAACAAGATTTGGTGGGTTAGAGGAGTTGGCCACAGATCAGATTGCAAGCCTCTTCCCACTGTACACTCAGGCAATTATGTGGCATATACAGCAACAAAGTTAGACCAAAGAACAACAGAGTGCCAGGATTAGACATATAAACAAATTCTATAGAGATATAAAATATAAACATTGTATTATGGCAGAATTTGAATAACTGCAGTAGTTTTGGCCTGAGGAATTTTCTTGGGCACTCTGACCATTAAGAGTTAATAATACACTGCTCTGGCAATCTGCCTGGGCTAGCTTGGAAATTTTGTTTTGGTCTAGCACCCTTGAAGAGCTACCAGCCTGAGAACAGGATGTCAGATGCCTCTAGATTCTTAAAAATTGGGTTATGGGGTTAATGAGTAAAAATGATAACTTTGTTTATCAATGATGTCAAAATTTGAAGGAAAATGAAAACTCCGTTCTGTCATAATTTATCAATGATGACTAAAAGATGAGCAAAAGGAAGTGAAACACATGTCCAAAAGCAAAGATGATATGATCTATGTTTTGGAACAACATGAGTCTATCCCTGCTTGCTAAATTCTGTATAAATAAAAAAGCACTCTGGCTGCTAGTCAGGCAGGCTGCAAGATGTCAGACTGTCCTCCCCTTGCTGATCTTACCTCCTCACGGTCCACCTGTCCACCGCCACTGGGGATGGCTCCCGGCACCTTCTCTGTAAGATAAGGATGAGTTAGAACATCACTTCAGTGACTGTGGTCAACAAGTAAAACACTAAGCACATGTGATTATTATGGAGCCACATAAGTAGGAGACAGCTCAGTGAATTACAGCTACGACTATCACCACACATGAAAAGAAGCTCGCAGCACACTGGAGGAGAAAGGCACACAGGGATGTGCAGGAACGTCAGCTATGGAGTAAGTGCTGGGAGGAAAGGATGCTTCTGACTGAGGACTCAAAGGAGGCTTGTAGAGAACATACACTCGAGTTGGTTCAAAGAATTGTTTTTTTTTTTTTTTCCCTTTGGCAAATGTGCCAAAAGTCACTTAAGACATCTCCACTGTCCTTTGTTTAATGCCGTGAGCTTGGGAACAAGAACATGCATTTGATTTTTATTGAATATTGAGTCTTCGACCAATGTTAGTGGGCCATAGTACATACCACTCCTTAATTAAACACAGGCGGGCCACACATATACATAGGCATACACTGCACACTTACTTCTATAGGGTTGCCAAAGAAATAATAATGATGGCTATGTCCAATTTTAATTATGCCAGTGTAGAGAGTCAGCTAAAGATCACATGCTCTAATCAGGCACCTCTTCCAGGGAATGGCTGTCACCCTCCCCACCCATCTTTGTTTACAATGGTCTGGATAGTAGCCAGGAATCTAGTAGGTCCAAGGCCCAACACCTTTGAGAGTCCCCCTGAATTACTGTGTTTACATAGTAAAGGAAGCACATGGTTTATGTATGAAGTGCAGATTGGTAAGAAGCTAATGGCTATCTATTATGCTCCCCAACTCTAGTGGGAGTTCTGCCTACATTATTACATGATCTTTTTAAATTTTTTTATTTTTTTATTTTTTTATTTTTTTTGGTTTTTCGAGACAGGGTTTCTCTGTGTAGCTTTGCGCCTTTCCTGGAACTCGCTTTGGAGACCAGGCTGGCCTCGAACTCACAGAGATCCGCCTGGCTCTGCCTCCCGAGTGCTGGGATTAAAGGCGTGCGCCACCACCGCCCGGCAATTTTTTTATTTTTATGTACATTGGTATGAAGGTGTCAGATCCCTCTGGAACTGGAGTTACAAACAGTTGTGAGCTGCCATGTAGGTGCTGGGAATTGAACCCAGATCCTCTTAACTGCTGAGCCCTCTCTCCAGCCTCTTATTACATGATCTTAAGAGCAACATTACAAGGAAGGTTTTCTCAACCAGTTTTACAGATGAGATAAGAGAAGTATTGAGAGTCCCTAATGCCCTTTCTAAGACTTAAAGAGTGGAACCTTGGGCAGGCTGGTGTTGAGGAGAGCTTTATGGTATGGACACAGTAGGCAGATCACTAGAACATCAAAGGACGTGGAGCCTGTATTTTGAACAACTGATCTTAGGGATAATTCATGTTTCCTTCTTTCCTCCCTCCCTTCTTCTCTCCCTCCCTACCTCTTCCCCCCGACCTCTGAATGAGCTTTGGTGGTAATGCTTCTGTCTTTTGGCTAGAGTCTGTGACTCAGGTGGGTCAGGTGTCCAGTTTGGGTTTGATGTCTAGTTCTGACACCTTCAGGTAAAACAAGAGGATTGAGATGACGCGAGGGTAGAGAGCCACACTGTCTTACCAGGTACCATAAGCTGGTCATTGGTAGTACCAGGACCTTAACACACAGCTTCCTGACTTAGAGAGGCATGCTCTTTGTGCTACCAAGAGGGTATGGGGCAGCCCAAAGTTTATTTAGCTCTTTACCCACAAAGGTAAATCTGTATTTCGTGAAGCTTAAGGGAAAAAAAAAACACAGATGGCCTGAAGCTCAGATGCCATCTTTTTCCAATTCAGAATTTTGTAGGCCAAAGATTTTGGCAAAGTAACTGTGGCTAATATTTACTTGAAAGATATTTGGGAAAGAAAAGGTAAGGTATTTAGACTTTGTGTGTATGTGTAAAGAATCAAGTAGCCTTTAACTGCTGCCAGCAGCAAAAATTCTACTTCCTGAAGCAAAAAATGACTTCCTGGAGCAAAAATTCTACCTCCTGGAGCAATGTTCTTACTCAAGACAAACCAACACCAGACATGAAGAATTTGCTTAACATTTTGCTTCGACACTGAAGCCCAAGTTGGTGAGAGAGCGGATGTGAGCTCTCCTTCCCAAGCTTAGAGTGGATCACCAACCTGGATCCTGATTTAGACGTAAAGAACATGAAGAGAGTGTTGGTTCACAGACATCACTGCTCAAGGTCTTAGAAATGATCTCATAGAAGCTAAAAAGCAGAGGCAGGCAGGAATCCTGCAGTGCTCTGAGCACCAACAAAAAAGATAGACGTGTTTAGCAGACGTGGAGCAGAATTCTGTAGATCATTCAACAAAGGTTTATGCTGTAGATCAGCAAAGGTTTGTGCACAAATCATTCTTAAGGCAGTGCAGAAACAGAAGCATGATAGAATATGTTTAATATACTGCAAAAGACAACCCCCCACAGTTGTAATAATATATAATGTTGTAAAATAGAGATGTATTTTGAAAATTATGTAAGAAGAAATGGTGATTTTTTTCATAGCATAGTGCTATTTCTGTTGACTATCACATTATATCGCCATCACAGCCAAAGTTTATGTTTTATTCAGTTATTTGGTTCCTGGGTGAATGGTGTGTTATGCAGAACGGCCATGGTTTTTTCCACTACTTTCAAAGTCTTCAGTCTTCTGTTAAGATCTTGGATCCATTCTGAATTGGTTTTTGTACAGGGAGGAGGATGGTGACTGTAGTTTGATTCTGCATATGGCCTTATGGTTTTCCCGGAAACATTTGTTGGAGGCTGGTTTTTCATTTTGTTTTGTTTTCCAATGTATGTTTTCAGCACCTTTGTTAAAATTTAGTTCACTGTAACCAAGTCATTGTAAAACAAAACAAAACAAAACAAAACAAAAAAACAAACACAGATCTCACTTCAAGGGAAATGATCATTTATTCTGGAGCCAAGTATTAGTATTAGCATAGCCTGGGAGTACGGATATGTTAGCAGTTTCATGAAGTTGTTATGGAAACAGAACAAAGTGCAAATCAAAACCTTTCAAATGGGTAGGTCAGTCAGGTGGGTTAAAATGAGGTGGGGATCTCGAGGCCCCAAAGGTGGTCTGATGATGTTCTTGTGTTTTGGGTTGAAGGAAGATAGGGTCTGTTTGTACATT